GGTTTAGGGGTTTAGGGGTTCTTGTGGTGTTCGGGTCCTGCGTACCCGAGAAGACACCACTGAAGGATGTTTGGTAGGGCGCGAAGCCCTAAGCCTTAAGCCTTATGAAGCCCGAAAAATCAGGCCTAAATCTAGGCCCTAACCCCGAAGCCTTCAACCCTGGGACCCTAAGCCCTAAAGTTTAGGGTTTAGGGTTTAGGGTCTAGGGTTTCGGGTTATAAGGTTTTTGGGGTTTCAGGGCTTGGGGTTTAGAGTTTAGGGAAACCCTAGGCTCCCGAGACGCTAACCCCAATCCTTATGCCCCGAAAGAGCTCAGGAACGGGTTGCTCACGAAACCGATGCTGGTGGTCGTTCCGACAGGTCTCGCGGCCATTTAGGGTTTAGGGTTATAGGATTTAGTGTTTGGGGCTCTACGATCACAAACCCGGTTTGCCATCTTTGAAACGCAAGTAAGAGCTTGATAAGTCTGCCGCAACCTTCAACCCTCAAGCCTCAAACCTAAAGCCAAACCTCAAGCCCAGGAACCTAAACCTGAACCCAAACCCTAACCCTACACCCTAGACCCCAAAAGCCCAAACCCGAAGCCTAGACCTAAACCCCAAGAACCCAGACACTAAACCCTAACCCCCAAGCACTAAGCCACTAAGCCCCAAACGCTCCCAAGACTTGGTCCGCAAACCCCTCAAGCCCTACACCGCCAGAAACAGGACTTAACCTAAACCTTCCTCTGTTAAAGTACAACCTGCGGTTTCTAAACGGTTTGGGGTTTAGGGTTTAGGGTTTCCTTCAACCTTACCTTACTTACCACGGCCTTCTTCAGGATTTAGTATGTAGAGAAATCAACCATAGCAAGCCTTTCAAACGTAGGATTCTTGGTAGCGCCGTTCAGCAGCGGAGGCCTCCTGGGCACCTGGCAGAGGGAGCTGAAGCAGTGGGCAGGCCACTTTGGCAGAGCTTGTAGATTCCCCAAACCCTAAACCCCTAAACCCCTAAACCCCTAAACCCCTAAACCCCTAAACCCCTAAACCCTAAACCCCTAAACCCCTAAACCCTAAACTTTTGGGGTTCAGGGTTCCCCCTTTTTTGGGTCTTAGGGCTTCGGACTTGGGGTTTGGAGGTAGGGCTTGGGCCGTTCAGTTCCTGAGGCTTCTCTACACCGAAGATCCGGCACCCTTTGACGGCTACTTCGGGGCTGAGTAGGTAACCTTTAACCTTTTTGGGCTTGTATAATCCTCTATACTTCAAAAGCTTAACCTTTTTTTGGGCTGAGGTACTCTCAGCCCCTGGGGCTATTCCTTAAATAGGGGGGGGGTTCTCTCGAGAGGAGTTCTTCTAGAGACCTTGGCCCTCAGAGGGCCTTGTAGAGCCATGGGGGCATTTTTCTAGAGCGCCAATGGGGGCGTTTTCTAGAGTTCAGAGAGGCTTTCAATTTCAATAGCCCTTTCACAAGAATCCTCCCACTTCTGAGCCGGAAAGGAACCCTTGTAGAGCACCAACCCAACCCTAAACCCTAAACCCCAAACCCTAAACCCTATCCTTATACAAGCTCCTTAAGAGACTCCTTGCCAAACCCTGCAAGACCCCGGTGAAGCCTTAAACGTAACACACCAGAGAAACCCAAAACGGGTGCTGAACCCTTCAAAGAATCTTTATTTCAATTCCCTGTTCGAGCCGTTCTGCACCCTTCTCGAAAAGCCTTGTAGACCCTTGGGATCCTCTTGCAACCTGAACCCTTTATGTATAACTTATACCACCCTCCTCAAACCCTAAACCCCCAAATCCCTCGGAGAAAGAGCCTAAACCCTAAACCCTAAAACCCCTCAGGGGACACCCTGAAAGTGAACCTCTACTTCGGCAAAGAGCGGAAGGAGCCCTGGTGTGGTGTGGGGTTTCCTCGAGCTTAGGGGTGTAGGGTTTAGGGTTCATGGGTTTTGGTTTAGGGGTTTAGGGTTTAGGGGTTTAGGATTTGGAGTTTAGGGTTTAGGGTTTTAGGGTTTAGGGGTTTAGGATTTGGGGTTTATGGTTTAGGGATTCGAGCTAAATCGATTCCCTAGCTTGTGTTTAGGGTTTAGGGTTTGGGGAATCGAGCTAAATGAATTTCCCAAACTTGTGTTTAGGGTTCAGGGATTAGGTGTTCGAGCTAAATCGATTCCCTAACTTGTGTTTAGGGTTTATGGATTAGGGATTCGGGCTCAATCGATTCCCTAACTACCTTGTGCCTTGCCAATCGGAATCGCGGAGTCGCGACAAGCCAAGAGGGCATTGTGGAAGGTTGAAGTCACTAGCAGTACTATTTCTTCGGGCACCTTATTCAAACCTTAAACCCTAAACCCTAAACCCGCAAACACAAACCCTCAAACCCCATTCTGATGATCAAGGCCCATTGCTCACGTTCAGCAGGCGACGAGTGGGAACATCCTTATGTGATCACTCGGAGACGATCTTTTCCTCCGAGCGTTCAGTTGCAGTTGCTGAAGACCTTTTTGAATCCTTACACCGTGGTCGGCAGGAAAGCTAGCTCAGGCATCTAGTTCGTTTTTGGCTTGTTTTACAAGAGAGATGGAAGACGACCTCGTCGCGGTGCAAGGTGCTGAGGCCTGCGCTCATGCGCCAGCTTTTTGAATTCAGGAGCTTCGGGACACCATGCGCCGAAATTCCCGCACGATTCGTTGATTCTGCCATGCCAAAGTCGCCAAGCTCCGTTTCCTCCAGCCTAGAACACCGCCAAAAACAACAAGCCCTTCATCCCTACACCCCTAGACCCTGAAGCCTAAAAGCTAGATCTCGAACGCTGAGCCTCAAGCCCCTAGGCCATGCTTTGTACCCGAAGTCGCCCCCTGTCCCTCTAAACCACAAGAGGTTCAGGGTTTAGGGTATAGGAATTAGGTTCCCCAAACCCTAAACCCCTAAACCCCTAAACCCCTAAACCCCTACACCCCTAAACCCCTACACCCCTACACCCCTAAACCCCTTAGGCCTTAGGGTCAGTTCAGATTTCCGGGGTTTCGAGTTTGGGGTCGACGTTTTACGGCAGCGCCTGTCGGGGCTTCAGTCTCGGCGGCAGGTTTTTGGGTATGAAAGTCGCTTCCTGAGTGGTGAGCAGGCTACAGTAGGTTCAGCACCTTCTTTCTTTAGGGTTTAGAGTTTTTGGTGGTAGCTGATTGCCAGGTTCTCCCATGCTTCGGAAGCGGTTGGCAAGGGCAGTTGTGCATTTTTGTCGGCTTCGCATTCTACGGCCTCTATCCGCCCCGTACCGCTTCGACCCTAAAACTTTATCTCTAAAACCCAACAAACCCGCTACAAAGCCGTTCAGAAGCAGACACCCGAGGAACTCCCCCTCACAAAAAAAAAAAGAGACTAGTTCTGATGTCCACCCTAAACCCTAAACCCTAAGCCCTAAACCCTTCCATGCCCTGAAAGCCCCAACCCTTCAGCAGGCCGTCGCGGGAATGAGCGAACCCGAGAAGAGGAGGCCCAAGGCCGACAGAACATGTACCTGTGGCCCAAGGAAACCAATCCTTTTAAGGAAATATAACTGAATAGGTAGATAGATGGATGGATGGATGGATAGAGATATATATATATATATCTCCCAATAATAAGGAACCCGAAACGGGTAGGTTTTTCGGATACAGCTTGGCCTTACGGTCTGTAGTGTTCAGGGTTCATAGGATTTTTAGTGTTTCTACGGTTCGGGTTCAGGGTTTCGGGTGTTAAGGTCTATACTGTTTGTTGTGACAGGGCTTGTGGGGTTTTATGGGTTTGCACGCATTCCCTGGACCTGAAAAAAGAACCTACCTTTTTGAGGGCTTATGGGGTTTATGAAGTTCATGTTATGGGCGTGAAGGTCTTTAGCGGCTTTCTTAGGGCTTATGAATGTGGGCATTAAGGTCGATAGAAACCCTAAACCTCAAAAAAAGAACGTAAATCCTAAACCCTAAACCGTTAGAGTCATTGGGCTTCCAGGGTTGCCAGGGCCTAGAGTTTCACAGGGCGAGCAGGGTCGGCAGGGCTTACCATGCTTAAATGGGGTTTATATGGGGTTGGTGGGGTTCTTGCAGGGTTTATATCCTCCTAAGCCATAGCACCAACCATCGGGAACCCTTCAGCCTAAAAGCCAAGTTGACCCCAAGAGCCCAAGCCCTCGAACCTCCAGCCCCATTTCCCCCCCAAGCCATACTGACTAAAGCCTAAAGCCCGGGCTGTCCAAGAAGCCTCCGCCTCCTCCTCCTCCTCTCCTCCTCCTTCTCCGGTACTGGCACTGGCACTGACGCTGCTGCTGATGCTGCTCCTGCTCCTGTTACCGCTCCTGCTCCTGCTCCTGCTACTGCTAATGCGAGTGATGCTACCACTACCCCTACCGCTACCACTACCTGCCACTGGCATGGCAGTAGCACTGACACAGGCGCTGGCACTAAGATCCCCGAAGTTCTTGAATCCTAAAGACGGAAGCACTGACCTTCGGCGAGGAGTGAAAGGGCCACTACACTTTCTTTTTTCAAAAAAGAAGACGGAAGCCGAACAAATCAGAGAGCCCCGACGACTTCACAGGCCGAGCCTCCAGCGCCGAAGCGCCGAAAGCTGTCGCAAAAACAGCCTGTCCCCGGTGCTGATATTAGTTATTAGTGTGTTTAACTCTGATTACTATATCATAATGATGATGGTAGTTTGTTTATCTGTTTATGTTTTTGCGGGGAGGGAGTGGTGGAGCGGGTGCGGTGGAGAGTGGTGGGTGCTGGGATCTAGGGTGAGTGGTATCGTTGTTTTGAGTAGGGAATTCGGAATTTTGGGTTGCTCCATTATCATTGGGAGTCAACACAAAAACGGTGCTCTCCATCCATATTGGCAGAAGTGTATCAGTGGCAGTTTTAATGGCTGCTGCTAGTCCTGTTTACAAGAATCGGTAAGTGCTGTCGTTCTGATAGCGATGATGATGGTGGTGATGATGGCGACGGTGATGATGCTGATGACGAAGAAGCTGTTGTTTCAATCGCTATGACAGACCTAAAACCCCCTGCAAACCAGCCCGCCCACAGCAGTAGAATGCAAGTCCTCCTCCTCCAGGCATCCCCTGAGCTTGCCTGTTTCGGGTTCAGAGTTTAGAGTCCAGAGTTCTGGTGCTGTGGGGTTTCCGAGTTCTGGAGGCGATTTACTTGAGTCGCAGGGTCTGGAGTTTATGTACGCATGTGTGTGACTTTAAACCGCAAACATGGTTTGAGGCTCCTTAGCCACCACCGCGCCCTCGATTCTTGGTGCTTCGTCGGGCTTGCCCTAAACCCGAAACCCTAAACCCCTAAAGTCCCTAAAGCCTAAAGCCTGAACCCTAAGGCTCCTTCGGCATATCTGCCCGTGCCGGAGAAGCAGACCAGGGCCAAGAAGTCCGAGGCGGACGCTGGGGGGTTTACATGCGGCTTCTGCTTTTCGGGTTTAGCTTCGTTGAGGATCGGCAAACCCCGAACCTTAGGGTTTAGGGTTT